GCAATGGCGACTTCAACTGGTGTCATGGAATGAGAATTATTAACCCATCTTAAACCAATTTTGACATGACAATGTTATTAAGAATGGTTTCAGTATGGGTTATCCAGACTAATTTTTATAGTCAAAAATGACTAATTGGTAGTAGAAAAATACTAATTCATTAAACCTTTCACATTTTCCAATGGATTGGACGCCAAACTCTTTCTTATAATTTTGAAAGTAACCCTATACATTTCTATAAAGTACACAATTTTTTTTTTTGCGTAAATTTAACTGAGAGTAGAATATTATGTTCTCAAATTTTTACAAGGTAAAAATTTCACATTTCAAAATATAAATGTTGTTTACACCTTTTCAATAATGTGAATTTTTTTTAAGAAAACGAAAATGTTTTAAGGAATAGGAATTTTAGGTTATGAAATATTTTGATAGCCTATAATGAGTCCTAAAAGTTAGTGAATTTATAATACTAATTTCATGTTATGTTCCGGCTTACTTCACGGACGTAAAATTCGGACAAAATGAAGATTCGGTAAATTGAAAATTTTAGCATTTATAAATTTTGAAGAACTTATAATTCTGCTGAATAAAAATTCTGCTTAATTAATATTCGGTTTAATTAAAATTCTTTTAAATCAAAAGTTGCGGATGAAAAAAACTGTAATTTCAAAATTCGGTACATAAAAATTTTGTTAAAAGTAAAAATTCGATTTAAAAAAAAAAAAGAATTCTGCGTCGAATACTAATTGAAAAATTAAAATTCGTCTAAAAACTAAGTATATCAAATAAAATTCTTTAAAATGAAAATTTCAACTTATTAAGGTGGTCCAGAACATTTTGAACAGTTTTCGAAAATTTCCAAACCACCGTAATTTTTTTAATATTCATTTAAAAAAATAATAAAAAATAAATTCGAAATTTCGGCGTAAAAGCAAAATTTTATAAACATCTTGTTTGCGAAAATAAATTATTCTATAACAAATTTTAATTATTGTCACCCAGAGATAAGTAATTAATTCATGCTCTCAACTTTGTCTTTGGCGTTCCCCCCCCCCTCTCTCTCTCTCTCTCTCTCTCTCTCTCTCTCTCTCTCTCTCTCTCTCTCTGTTTCTCTCATCTTTCGCGCGGCCCTTTTCTTATTTTATCTTTTACTTCTAGAACCTTTATCTTCTAAACTAGCGAACCGAAGTGCTTATAAGATGAAGTTTACAACGAAGAATTCTTTGAAACATTAGAGTCAACTATTTTATGAAACTCCTTGATAAAGTTAACGAATATATATAGTATATAAGAAAATTGCTTAAAAGCCTTGACCTAATATCTGTATGTATAAAAATGCAAATTTTTTCAAGATGAGTAAAAGCTTCAACCTAACAATATTTAATGAAATGCCAACAATCTTAAATAATTAGTTGCAATTTGATATAAGAACTTTTGAATTGTGCAGTATATGAAGTTAAAAAAATACTATTCGATTTTTTTTTAGAATTTTTTTTATCAAGATATAAATTTTTCAAAATTTTTATATTTTAATCCTGGTCAAATCTTAATATAACGTGTGCATTATATTTAGAAAAATGTATAACTTTTTTACAAATACAAAAAAAGTGTTAAAATTTTTTAAATTTATATATTACTACAGCTTTGAAAAAAAGTTGATTTACTCTTTCTTACATTTAAAATAGTTTCACCATTACAAGAAAGTTACCATAAAGTTTCCAATATACTTTTAAGCTGATTAGACTTTGGAAAAAAGAAAAATTCTAATCAAATTCTAATTTATCTTCATGGATCAATTTCACTTTTATATATATATATATACAAATAGGATTGAACTACACGGAAAAATAATAATTTAATTAAACTTTACTTCACTGAAATAATGCAATTTTTAGATGCACAAAGTTTTCAAAGAATTAATTATCTCTAATTGATTGGAATTTTAATCATGTCATGATAATGAATAATGATGTATACAAACAAATCGGAACTTTTTTAATTCGTATATTAATAAATTCTTCGGTGTAAAATTTTATTATATCCAAAATGTCATGTATAATTTTTTTTTTCTCTTTTTCTATAAAGTTTCTCGTTCAGAATTCAACCAAAAGTGAATAAACTCTAATGGATTCTGAAAAAAAAGGGAGAAATAAAAAAATGTCTAAGTTTTGCCTTTCTCAATTCATTTCACATTAAGTATATGTATATACTGACTTGGATGAAAGAATTTTTGTAATATATATATATTTTTTTTAAGAAAAAGAGAAGACAAAGAGACTCTTAAGATTTTCATACTGGTTGCCAGACTTTTGATTTTCCAGTAGAAATGAGAAAGAAAAGGATAGGGAAACTCCGTGACCGTGGAGTCAGGGAGAAGTGCCGTGAATCATTCTATGAGCATAAATTAACGCGCCGTCACAACGCCGGTTAATTAATTAAGCTAAATTGTCCTAAGCGTGAGTAACTGCTGGCGCTTCGTCCAATTCTTCTTGTCCACTTTTCTATGCTTTTTACTCTAAAAATGACTTTAACGTTCGTTCCAGAAATGTAGATTTCGATTATAGTTCCTTATTCATTTCTTGGAATCAAATTTCACGAAAACTAATATCTCTATTATGCCTCTATCTCTGAATTTTCAACTTATATTATTTCATATTTTAATTACACTTTTGCAATTTTAATTCTATTCTCTAAATTTTAATTAGTAAAAATTTTAACTAGTGACTCAATTTTTGCTTTCGAATTAGTTAAATTTTACAAATTCGATAGTAGAAAAAAATTTTTAATTTATTTAAAATACTTTTTTTTTTAATTTAAAGACAATAAAAATTATTCAAATATTTTATTCGAATATTTTTTATTCCATTCATTTATTTTGCATTTTTTAAAAATCTTCAGAATCAATTTCAATAAATAAATTGATCTGATTTCTACAACTTAAAAGTGCCAAAGAATTTGGCAATAAACCAATAATTAAGGAGATTCGACCCATTAACATAACCTCAAACTAAAAAGTAGTTTTTAACAAAACTAAAAATATATTTAAAATTAATTTCATCTAAATTCAAAAGATTTAGTTTTACAATTTTCAAAAAAAAATATTTTTAGTTAAAATTTGTTGTTAAATAATAATTAATAATAAACATTTTGTGTTTCCTCTTAAAAGTTAGTGAACAATTCTTATATTTTTATCCAATTTTTTTTAAACAATTACTCATTTTTCTCTTTGAAAGATTCTTGACAATTTTGATTTTGTGTTTTTGTTAAATAATAATTTATTTTAAAAAATAAAAATTTTATTTGTTTATTAACTTTTGAACAAAATATTTTTATTAATAAACTTATTATTTAACAAAAACACAAAATCAAAATTGTCAAGAATCTTTCAAAGAGAAAAATGAGTTATTGGTTATAAAAATTAGATAGAAATATAAGAATTTTTCAGTAACTTCTAAAAAAAACACACAAAATGGTTATTAATTATTATTTAATAACAAATTTTAACGTAAAATAATTTTTTTTGAAAATTATACAACTGATTCTTTTGAATTTAAGTGAAATTAATTTTAAATATATTTTTAGTTTTGTTAAAAACTACTTTTTAGTTTGAGGTTATGTTAATAAGCTAAGCACCCTTAAGATAATTTATATAGAAATTAATATAATAATATTTTTAAATTCTAAAAATACTTTATATATTAAAAAATACAGTATTTCCTTCAATTCTTGAAACAATTTTGAGGTTAGATTTTAATCTCAAACCCAGCGGTCTCCTGACTTATGACCTGTCAATCTTCACACTGTAAAACGAAAAATGTTAATTCAATACCGACTTTAGGTACTAAATTGTCATTTGGTTCTATTTTGATACCTAAAATCGGTACTGTTTTAGTACTTTCTTTTTACAGTCCACGACCAAAATACTAACCAATTTGAAAACATAACCTCAAAATTAGGTGAATTTATAGTTTAATAAGACATTGGGTTTGAGCTTAAAATACTAACAAACCTAAAAACATACATTCTTGAAAAAGCGGCGACGGCGAAATCTTTTTGACCTTTGGCCCATAAGACCTCAAATTTTAAGGTTATGTTTAACATATGACCTTTGATTTTTCAGGTTATGTTCGTCTTTAGCCTATGTTTTGTCATTTTCAATTATAGTATTAAAATCATCTAATTTTGTATTACAGTATTTTTGTGGAATTTGTCCTATATTATGTTTAAGTATATAGTCGAATAGAAATAGAAAAAGACATTTGGAATTCAAAATACTGTAACTGAGTAGATGCCGTTTAATGGATCTGACTCATGTGTTGAGAAACCTTGACGTTCCTAAAATTTCTACACATCAAGTCAGCAAATGCATTTAAAAGTTGAATGGCAATTTTATTTTATTTAATGGAATTTATTTTGAAATTTTGTTCTATACTTTTCTTCACATAATTAACTATATACTTTCTCTATTTAAATATGTAAACCTAATTATATTTTGAATATTATATTTAATTGTAGATTTTTCATTTTTACTATCACTGAAAAAAGGGTTTGCTATTGACAACCTAACGTTTGGTTGGTATTTAAGCAACCAAATTTTTCTTTGTTGAATCAACAAAATTTTGGTTGTCCTAATCAAACTTTAGTTAGGACAAAAAAAATCCTTTTTTTCTAATTTTGGTTGTGTCAAACCAATTTTGAGACAATTAAAATTTTGTTGATTCAACAAAAAAAAAGTTTGGTTGCTTAAATACCAAACCCTTTTTTCAGTGTAATATTATAAGTATGTATGAATATTATTTGTCATTTTTTTAATATGCTGGAATATAGCAAAAAAAAAAAAATGTAATTTATGATTAATAACCAAAATTTATATAGTGTTTAAATATAAAATTCTATCATTGACGAAAATAAATGAAAATTATTTCTGGCTTCATGTGATATGTTTAAATAAATGGGGCGCCTAAAGAAGTAAATAAAACGTGAATTGCAGGCATACTAACCGGAAATAGTTGGATTTGGGATCAACGCACAGATTGCCAATAGGAGGAATGACACTCTGCAGTTCTGACGACTCTTCTGGCAAGTCTCCAGATTTTCCTCTCTTCTTGCTGGATCACCGATTCTTCTCCCCTTCATCATCATGCCTCGTGCCACATAGTTTTCGTTCCGGACACGTAAACGTGAACGTTACACTCAGATTAGGGCACGAGAACTTTAATAATACGTCTCGAAATTATCCTTATTTTTTTTTTTTAAAGCCCATTCGTCACTCTAATTGTTCTCTGCTAATATGTTATATACAAATTATTCAACACACATTTTATTTATTTCACTTTTGAAAATGCACTCATCAATCTTTTTCATCAACACTACTCGCAAATGTTTGATAATAATAATTATTTTCTTCAATTGAATAATTATATTTTATTTTTCCACTCATTTTCATTATTACACAAATGTCAATTAATATATATTGCCAAATTGAAATGTCCAGGCAGAAATTCTTGATCTTCTTTAGTATGCCTAAAAATAAAATTAATAAATAAATTTTAGAATATAATTTTAATATTTTTAATAATAATAAGTTAAAAATAAATATAAACTTTTGATGTAGTTATATTAACAAAAAGAATTACTTGGATCAAGTAAAAATTGCTGGATTAAAATTTCTAGGTTAAAATTTCATAATAATAAATTTGAAAATAATTTACTAAAATTGCCTAAAGACTGTTTTCCCAATTTCGAAAAAATTAATTTAGTTTATAATAGATTAATAATAAAAATTAATAAATTTTTAATATAAGAAGGAATAAAATTTATGTTAGTGTAAAGATAAGTTAAATATATATATAAATAAATATATATAAATATATATATATATATAAATATTTTTAAGATTAAAAATATTTATTTCTATAAATTTAAATATTAAATAAGTTAAAGTTATAGTGTATAGACACAAATATCAGGAGTCGATAAAAAGTAAAGAAACAGCCCTTTGTAAACATTCAACGGAACTAAAACATCATTTTAATTTTTCATCAAATGATGTTAAAATTTTACATTCAGAAAAAAATTTACGAAAACGAAAAATTATAGAAATGTATTATATTTTAAAAGAAAATATAGTTCAATTAACTTTAAAACTGATGTTGAAAAGTTAAGTTATATTTATTTACAGTTAATATCATAACAATTTTTTAATATACGTTTGTGAACCGACCTTTATATATTCAGCACTTTTTATATGAACCTTGGCTTGATACCGTTTTGATTCTCAATACTAAATCTACTTTTCATTGACCTTTCTAACCTACAAAATTGAAACACATGTCAAACATGTGTTTCAAAAAAAGTTTTATTTTTAATTTATTATTCTTAACTTAACACATATAATATTTTTTCAATTCAATTTTCAAAATTAATTAAAGGTACATGTTTCATAATTATATAAAAAATAATTTAAGTAATAGCTGCTTCTTACAGTTTTACATTTTTATAGATGACTAAAATTATTATAACTAAAATAACAAAAACTCATTATGTATATTAACTAAAATGAAACAGACGTGACAATGTCGGTATGTATTCTTCATAAAAAGAGCGTTTGAAAAAATTCTAAAAAGATTTATCTTTGCAGAAATGTATCTGATGAGGACACAGAATTCTGTGTCGAAACACGTCATATGTCAATTGTTGCAATAAACTAAAAGCCATTTAGGCCAAAAATGAAAAAAACATCTTTTAATTTAAAATTACTTGATATGTAAGTAATTCGTTACTCGGGGGTTTTTGGGGTCGCTAATTACAAATCCGGTGTCCGTTTTTCAAAATTCAAAATAGCCGATCGAAAAAATATTTTTTATTTCTTTTTATAAAATAATGTATTAGTATTAAATAATGCATTATTCGTATTAAATAATTTAGTGTATTAGAATCAATGAAATAAATTTATTTTGTTAAATAATTTTTATTTATATCAAAAAATTAAATATTTGTGTAAAATAGATAAACGAATTAATTTAAATAATTTATGATTTATTTGGTTTAAATTATTCAAGTTATTTAAATCAAAAAACATATTATTTTTTGTATCCAAATAAAAAATATTTAAAACAAGTAAATAATTACCAAATAATTTTTTTTTCAGTGTAAAATTTTGTATTTGCGAATGAATTTCTTTTTTTTTTTAATTTTACTATTTTTTAAATATTCATTTCACATATATATATATATATATTTGAATAGCTTTTGTGATATATGACTCGTGGAAATTTAATTCCACCGAGAATTATTACTACTCAAAAGTGGAGTTTGATTATGGAATAGATTTTTTGTAATTTACTTGGGGAAAATCATGAAGGTATTACCACTGAGAGAATTTTCATCCCTTTGGATAGCGAACACAAAGTATATATGTATATATGTATATATTCCACGTTTCTCGGTGTTCTCATTTCGCCTCCGTAATTACATCTCAAAGGCGTGAGGCGGCGCAGGGAGAACCGGAATCAATTTTTTAAAAGGTAGACCGAAGTTAGAGATGATGATGACAACGGGGGATGAAGAACGGTGCAAATTATCCCTGCAAGGCATTACTAATTAACGTCGTCTATGACGAGAGAGACGCATAAAACAACTGCAATGAGGGGTTGCACTCTTGCACCAGGTGTATAATAAAAGAATGCCCCGAAAGGTACCAAGTTATGATGAATTCTTTTTCCCCTGTGTATGTTTATATGATGCTACTATATATATATATGATAAAAAAAAAACAGAAAAGTAGTGTGTAGAGGTGTGATAACTTCAAGGTTCACATTCTCTCTCTCTCTCCCTCTCTCTTATTCAGAGTATATACATATATATACGAAATCCCACGTCAGAGCTTGCAAAAAATTATTATATTTAAAAATTCTGAACCAAAATTCATATATAGTCGAGATGAATTTCTAAATATAAGCACTATATATAATTGAGGGATATTTTATGCAAAAGACACACCAGATGAAATTGGAAAATTCTTCTTTTTTTAACTTTCTATAAGGCATTTCATATATAAGAAAAGAGGGGGTGTCATTTTACGGATTTTTCTTAAAATTCGATAAATTATAGTGGTACTGATGCTGAATGAATGTAGAAAATTTGGAATTTTTAATATTTTTACGAATATTAAGTTAACAATAATAATAATTTTAGTAATATTTTTTTGCTTTACTTATAACTTTTTCCCTATTAAAAGTATAGAGAAAAATATTAAAATTGTTTTTAACGCAGAACATGTTAAACTTTAAGATAAAAAATATTTTTCTTAAAAAAAAAATGCTGAACACATAAAATTCCTGTATAATTAGTAATAAAAATTATTTAAATAATTAATATCTAAAAGAAATAAAGATAAACTGTTAATTACTTTTTAATTTCTAAGATCAAAAAAAACGAATATTAAGTATCAGCACTACTACAATTTACCGAATTTTGAGAAAACTCTGAGACATGACCCCTGTTTTTTCATATATAAAATGCCTGATATAAGAACGAAATATATAGATTTAGAAAAATAATAAAAATTATATACCTAATAATTACGCAGTAAATTAGTAGCTTTTGAAAAAAAATTCAAGGTTTTCAAGATAAAAAAAATATTTTTTATTCATCATGCACGATTAACTTGACATTCCGTGCTTGTTTAGAGGGCGGAAAGTGGGTCTTTGCCGCCCGAGTGAAAATTCTACTCGCTCTTATTTAAAACATTAAAAATGTACTCATTAAATTTGTGTTAATATTATATTAAATTATTTAATGTCATATGAATTATCATTGAAACTTGTTATACATATGTAATATCTTTCAATTAACCCCTTGACTGTCAATGGCCCATATATGTCCAAAAAAAGTCGTGCCACCTTTGTGATTTTGGACATATATATGTCCACATTAGAAAAAAAAAATACTAAACATAATTAGAATTGAGTGTCAATGTGTATGCTAAGGTTTTCGGGGTCGCTGAATCCGAATTTGAGGTCAGAATTCAAAAATTCAAAATGGCAGACCCAATATGGCGTCGAAAAAATATTAAAAATTGACTTGATTTTTAAAAAAAATGGTTCCTTTAGGGTTTTTGGAGTCGCTAAATTCAAATTTGAGGTCAGATTTTAAAAATTCAAAATGTCGGACCCAATATGGCGGAGAAATCGGTAAAAATCGGTAATTTAAAATAATAATAAAATTTTTCCCAAAAAAACCCCGAGTAACGAATTTTGAACGAATCGAATCAATTTTTCCGACATATTGGGTTCGACATTTTGAATTTTTAAAATCTGACCTCAAATTCGGATTCAGCGACCCCAAAAACCAATAATATAATATAAAAATTTTTTTTGAAACTTTTTTTGGCCCACAAACGATTTTTCTACTCGACTGCGAAGGGGTTAAAATTCATCAAAAATTAAATTTTCAACATTTTTCGAAATGTGATGAGCCAAAAGTTTTGAACGTTCAAATGAACAAAATTTTTTTTGTAACTTCTTTAAATACGAATTTTATTACAAAATATTGTTTAAAATATCTAAAAAGAAGTTATTAATTTAATATTAGTTTAATTTACTGTTTTATTTAACATTGACATTATAATTTTGTAATAATTTATAGATTGAAAAAAATATTTTGTTCATTTGAACGTTCAAAACTTTTGGCTCATAAAATGTGAAATATTTTGATTAAATGAAATTAAAATTTATTTAATTAAATATTTTCGAGAATTTGATTTTCTATTTTGAATGAGATTTTATTCAACTATTACTTTGAGGTTAGGTTGTTTTGTAAATAAAATTTAAGAAATCAGAAAAAATCAAGAAAAATCATTATTATTATTATTATTATTATTGATTTCTGGTGAGTCAAAAGTTCTTATTTTTAAAAAATTAAGTATTTTGTCATCTGGATATAAACATTTTCTCCCTCAAAGTTATTATATGTTTATTTTCGTGTCTAATTATAGCTCCTACAGCACTTTTCTTCCTTTCTGCAAAAATTTCTACAGAAATAGAATGACAGCAACGACAAATTTTAGCTCTTCTTGTCATTATTTTCGAAATAGGAAGCATTCATTTAAAAAATATCAGCTAAATTATATTATTTATAATAAAATAATTATTTTTCATGAACAAATATGTTTTCTAAAAAAAATTATTTATCAAAGCTAATTTATACAACAATTCACGAAATGAAATAGCATAATTTTTAGGTTAAAAAATTTTTTAATTCACAACAGTGCCAACTGTACAACACAAAACTGTAAATATTGGCGCGAAATTCAAAAATTGTAACTATTTAATAAAAAAAAAAAAAATTCATTAATATTATGAAGAAACTTTGAATTATACATGCGAATTCATTTTGAATAATTGTAGTAATAATATATATCATTATCAGAGAGAAAAAAAAAGTATTTCATTAAAAACTTTTGTAAAACACTTTGAATGTATATATATGTATAATTAATTTTCTTTATATTAAATATTATG